AGAAAACGGAGGTGTTTTTTTTGTTTTTTGTTTTTTTTTTAAATAAAAAAACCCCCAACCCTGCAAAAAGCAGCATTATAAAGAACAAAATGATCCTTCCCAACCATATTATACCAGAAGATGGTATACGTAAGGATCCAATATGAATCAGTGTTTTTGTACACAAGACCCTGTGCTCATGTGGATAATAAGTCATCTCCATGATTAAAAATCAGGTTACAAAAAAACCTTACATAAAATCCTTAGGATTTGATACTAATTGAAGATAAAATACTTTCAAGTATTGTGCTTATGAATTAATTAGAGGTTAAGGCATGATTTAAGGTAACATTGAAACAAAAGCCCTATGTTACCCTAAATGACCTTTATAATATAGCTAACTTTCTGCAATCTGTTCAGTATTTGTTTCCTTCACATTTCTCATCCAACATGCTGCGAAAAAAATAAAAGCACAAAAAAATAATTAAAAAAAAGGTTCATGTCACTCTGAACAAAAATGCCTTTTTGACAGTGAGCAGATGAAGCCAGATTTCTGCCTTCGAGTACCACGACTCACGTAACAAACAGTACCATGTGAAGGACAAGAACAACATAATACTACGCCAGGGAACAAATCCAGGATATCGACCCAGTGAGATTAGCTTTCCCCTTGAGGTTTTCTTTAGTGCAATAAGGACCATACTTTCCACCAAAATAAGCACAGAAGTAGAAAACGGAGGTGTTTTTTTGTTTTTTGTTTTTTTTTTAAATAAAAAAACCCCCAACCCTGCAAAAAGCAGCATTATAAAGAACAAAATGATCCTTCCCAACCATATTATACCAGAAGATGGTATACGTAAGGATCCAATATGAATCAGTGTTTTTGTACACAAGACCCTGTGCTCATGTGGATAATAAGTCATCTCCATGATTAAAAATCAGGTTACAAAAAAACCTTACATAAAATCCTTAGGATTTGATACTAATTGAAGATAAAATACTTTCAAGTATTGTGCTTATGAATTAATTAGAGGTTAAGGCATGATTTAAGGTAACATTGAAACAAAAGCCCTATGTTACCCTAAATGACCTTTATAATATAGCTAACTTTCTGCAATCTGTTCAGTATTTGTTTCCTTCACATTTCTCATCCAACATGCTGCGAAAAAAATAAAAGCACAAAAAAATAATTAAAAAAAAGGTTCATGTCACTCTGAACAAAAATGCCTTTTTGACAGTGAGCAGATGAAGCCAGATTTCTGCCTTCGAGTACCACGACTCACGTAACAAACAGTACCATGTGAAGGACAAGAACAACATAATACTACGCCAGGGAACAAATCCAGGATATCTCCCGAGTTAAGACAAAAAACAGGCAAAAAAAAGCCCCAAGAAATGAAACCCCACACCCTCCTGCCCACCCTCTCACCCCGGCTATACGGGCAATGCACCCACACACACATACAGACACGCAGTTACTGTGTGTAACGATGGGAAGCGCCTACGGCAGCTTCTGGGAAAATTGCACAATTTCAAGCTAAACAGATAAAAGATACCCTGTTTAAAAAAAATATTAAAAATTCAGCACCAAGTAAAAGGTTTTTTCTTATTCCAAGTAGCTAGATAATGTTAAGAAAAAAATGAAGACGACCCTCAAGGTTATTCTGAAATAACCTATGGTTTTATAAAAAAAGCTCTCATCTAGAGCCTTGCAGTGGAAAACTAACACCAAAGAACTAAAATGCTCAGCCTGCTTGGCACTGTAATGGCTAGAAGGACTTTTTTACAGAAATTTGGAAATCTGAAGTGAATCTTCAGATTTAAACTGGGGAGTAAACTAGGTATCTGAAGATACTTTACAGAGGGGGTGCCAGTATTTACTCCTCTTTCCCGAAGTCACATTGGAGATGTATGTGGGCCAAGAACAACATCCCTGTCTAAACTTATTCTCTACCACTATTTAGGGATAAACACTTGCATGGCAGCTCCTCCAGCTATGAAGATGCTACGGACCTGTCCTCCTGCCTAGCACCAATTATACCGAGCTTTTCGAACACTGCACATCGTTCCATCATACAGTATACGTGCCACATCAGTTGCTAACATTGTGATGAACCGATGTGTTACATGACCAACTTGAACTGCGTGTAAAACCAAAATATCCCAAACTTTTGAGAACAATATTACACGACAGATCTAATTTGTACTTGTACAGCACAATGGAACAAACCTAGAAACCCCATGCCTTGGTCTGACAGCGCACTGTATTTCCCCTCAAAAGTTAAAGGACAGAGATTTTTTTTTTTTTTAATTTAAAAAAAAAAGTAGAACATTCTACTAAAATACCACAGATCATACGGCCAATCCAATCTTTTAGTCAAGGCAAAATATGATTAGTTATAAAGTGAATTCTTCAGTGCTACAAGATGAAAACAAAATAATTTGAAAAAAAAAAAAGTTGGCTCCATATAATCACCTACTGGAGTTGCCTATTAAAATCATTATAAAATTATGCTAATAAAAACTGTGAACAAATAATACACAGATCAGGATATATGTATTGACTTACTAGCATCTTTATAAAAATTTGAAGATATACACAAAAACACATCAACATTTATGGAACTGTATCCATTAAACTTAGATAAGACAACACAAAAAAACTAACAAATAGCTAAGATGTGGTTGACTGTAAGCATTTTGAGTAACATTTTAATTTTAAAAGGTCAATATTTACACACTACATTAAATGCCTTTTTTTTTTTTTGCATCATATTTTGAATGCATGATAAAGAAAGAACAAGATAATGGTTGCAACAGATCTTCTAAGAAAGTTAACTTAAGATGCTCAGATTTAACTACGTGCTGAAAGAGAACATGGCAAGAACACGTCCGTCTAGCTTTACCTCTACTTCCTTTAGGTTTTTTGGGGAGGAGACAACAAATGGATCTAAAAGAGCTGTATCATCCAAACCGATCATTGCCAAGAGATCCACTTTGGAGTTAGAATTTGAGAACTAACAAAACACAAACATTTTAACAAATGACTCACCTAATTGCTACTTTTGCTACTGAGTTTTTTAAGATATCAGAGAGATATGGTGACAACACAGGGTGTAAGTACGTATGTATGTGTATAATGAAATGCATATAGACATACATACATATAGTAAGTTTACATATAGTAAGATACCCAGGTACTGCAATAAGCAGCTAAAATCACCACCAGCAATCTGCCCGTACTCTGTCTATGCACAAGCAATAATCTACTGCAACCGCTTTTAAAGAGGATGCATCTAGTCATTAAACAGGCATTGCTTACATTGCCTCCTACATTTAAACAGATCTGAGGCGATTTCATGTCTTTATTCTAAAGCCACGCATTTGTCTCAAAAAAAAATTTAAAAAAAAAACCCCAACTGAATAAAAATTGTTAAAACATAAGTTGGCTGAACCTCAGCCTCTTTGGGACGGATTCAAAACCCAAAGCAGGAGTGTTTCTACAAACTTCTTTGACTTTTGAATCAAACCCATATTCTTAGGCTCCAAGAAACCCTCTAACCCCAATAACGTTTGCTTCTGACAGGACAGCTGATCAACTGCAGATGTTCCTACTGCTGAACTCAGCTGCTGGCCTGTCTGGCATTTGCATCTAGCCCAGATTTCCAGACACGCACTATTATCGCTCCACTCCAAGATGTCTTCCCATCCTTCTCATTACAGAGAAGCTGCTCCCTACCAGTGGGATGAATAACTGTTTAATGACTTGTTTGAAAGACAAGCATTTATTTCTTAAAAATAAAAATTACATAACCTGAGGAGGCAGCGTAGGGGTCCTAGTGCTCACGGTGCGAGGAGTTAAACAGCACGTGGCAGAGCCCGTCACCACGACCAGCTCGCATGAGTCTTCAGGGTCGGCTCCCACTGGGCACTTCCTACCTGCGGCTCATTCTGTCCTGGGCTTGGGTCTCCCCTGAAGCACTAACAGCACTTTATGTATAGTAATTGTGCTGGATGTTCTTAAGTATTATACGTAAATGGGGAACTATACAGACGGGTGTAAAACTCACTTCCACGCAAAAATTCTCATGATGTTACTGCATCTCATCACTACGTTGTAAATGGGCTTAGAGTATTCTTTAATTTTTTTTTCCCAATGCAATGTTTCAAAAGTACCACGTTATTCTGTATTATTTCAATGAACAAAGAGCTGTTTTATCTAGAAGACTTTTGACAGTACTTATTATTCAATCATTATTTTTAGTAACTTCTACTTAATTGAAAATCTGGACCAAAACTGTAATAAAGCCAATTATGTCTTTGTAACTTGGTTACCATTAAATCTTTAAAAAAAAAAAAAAAAAAACAAACCCTCTATGCTACCATAAACTTGCTTAGTTCATCCTTCCACGCTTGGCATGCCTATTTTGGACCCCATTCACAGCTGTTGCATTACATACCAATAGTGTTCTTCCGCAGTCACTCAGGTAACAAACCTTAAGGTTTCTGTAAGTCCCCCCATTCAAATCATAGGTGGAGTGCTTAAGAGTACTCCTAAAATAAAGGATGAAGCAAAAGCTCACAGTCTAAAAACTAAGGAAATGTTCATAAAAACTGGAATCCAATATAAACATGACATTTTAATAAGTTTATTCAGAAGTAACTGAAAAAAACTGTTCCTTTGGCAACACCATCTAGATGGTTCTAACCAAAAGGAAATATGGATCTTACTTTGAATAATATATAAACTCCTTAATGTTTGCACGTAATTTTTGGGAACTGCCACATTCACCAGCAGATTGACAATGTCCTTATAGTCCTGTATTTATCGGGAACACATCAAACCAAGTCCTTTCAGTTATGGCTTTCTTATGGTTCAGCATTAGTCACAAAATAAATCTCAGAGAAAAAAAACCTAATCAAAATAAAGCATAAGGCAATCATGAAACGCTAGCCCAAAAGAACTATTAGGAATGCACCACTCTTCCTGTGTAACATTTTTGAAGTGAACCATCAAATATTTCTTTTTCCTTGTATCTGGCAAAGTCCTTTAAAACAACCTAGTTACAACTTGGAGTTCACTACCCCACGATGCTACTGAAGGGCAAAGATCCTTGTTTTTAAAAACCAAGGGAAAATACAGCAATGTTATTCCTACACAGGGTTTTACGGAATAAGTGGAGTTGGAAGGAGAAGATGGAAGTCTGTGTTGGAATAGAAAAATGCAAAGACAGACTTAACTTATTTACAAAGATCGAAACTACAATTTTCCAGTGTCACCTCCAAAGCTTCTCAGCATACTGCTATTCAGTGAAGTAGACCACGTTTAAATCTATGCAGGAATACCTTCTGTGCTCTCAGATATACAATGTAACTAATGTGTTTTGTTCAGAAAAGTGAGTTTTCATTCAAATACCTCGCACTGAAGATAAGAGCAACCATTATCAAATATTCTTTGCTATGAAGGAAGTTTTTAAATCTTTCGATGTAAACGTTCTCTCTCAAGTCACTGTGGTCACACAGTAGGATCTTGAAGAACGGTGTCTACATGCATTGAAAGCATTTTGAAAAAAAATCTGTAGTTCCACGTGGTTACAACAGAACGTGAACAAACTGAACAGAAATTCCACCTTTGCGGATCCTCTCAAGTTCAGCTCTTCTGCAGGACATCTTGCTGCTTTCTGTAGTTCAACATAGCAAGTAAGGACTAAGCTGAAAAGTTTCACAACCCGATGGTTTTGCCACTGCGTCTTGTGTAGCTCCACAGTACGCTTCGGTTAGTGTCAGGTTTTCTCTCGGCAGACATCACTCAACTATCAGTGCCACGTTTATGTGGGACAGATCTATCATGTGCCTGTTAAAAGAAATTTAAAACCTGGTACTCAAACTGATTCTAGGGGTGGAGAACAGACAAGGAGGTTCTATGAACATCCCTAATAAACAGACGCTTGATTGGCTTAAGAGAAACATTGAGCAGAGGAGACTGCGCTTAATTATTTACCTGTGGAATTTCTGTTGAAATGCTAAAGCATGTGCTGGCTCCTTAAATTTTGCTATGGCTTTCCGTTGTTGAGGAAGCATCTGTAAACTCTGCAGAGACAAAAAGCCAAAACATATTTTTAGTATTCACTTAAAGTTCCCTTTAAACTAATTTTGCATCAAACCCATTGAAATTTTGGCATATTTCTTTTCTCAGAAACACTTATTGGTGTCCAGGGAATGGAAAAAGACTTCTGAGACTGCAGTCAGGGACCCAGCTGAAGGTGTTTGAGCTGGTGCATTCAGCAACTGTACCAACTGGAAAACCCAGACCATCACTGGTTAAGCAAAGGCAATAGCTCTTCAATTCCATCAATAACAGATGAACCAAACCCTGCAGCCAAACTCCCACCAACTGAATGAGAAACATTCGACTGGGCAGAGCTCAACTTCACACTCGAGAGCCTCGGAATCATTCACCTGATGTACATTAAAGGATTGGGGCTTTCCATGGGTTAAACAGGACAGAAACAGGAAAAAAGTGTTAGGTTTTGACCTCTACACTGTATATCCTCACACTATTTTAACAAAAACAAGTGTCTAGCTTTTGACAGACACTAATAACCACATGACCCCGATGAGATGGCTTAGGTCTCCACTTCCAAGTCCTCGTAGTAATGGGAAACCAAGCAAGACACATCTACCCAGAGAAGTCCATGGGACACGTGCTTCACAGTGCTGTAACTGTCAAAGAAACCCTGTGTAGTACTGAGGTCTCCAAAACTATAGCATGCCTCAGCCAGGGCTTTGGAGAACTCATGTCTCCAAACAGTACTCAAGATGAGGCCGCCACTCTACTCTGCACTGGTGCGGCCTCACCTTGACCACTGTGTGCAGTTTTGGGTGCCACAGTACAAAAAGGATACGAAGCTACTAGACAGTGTCCAGAGGAGAGCCACAAAGATGGTGAAGGGTTTAGAGGGGA